TGTGTGTGTGTGTGTGTGTGTGTGTGTGTGTGTGTGTGTGTGTGTGTCTCACATGGCTAAATTCTAGTACACAGGTGCCATGGCCCTCTCATGGAGATCAGAGGACAACTTTGGGGACTTTCCTTCCCCCATGGGTTCTATAACCAAACTTAGCTCTTACAGTTTGTATGACAGTGCCCACATTGAGCCATCTTGCCAATCCTTATCAAGTTGATTTCCAATGCTGCTCTTTTCTGTATCATTCCAATCTTAGTCTATGTGATGCTGAAGCAAACACTACACCCGACTGTCATGAAGCACTGACTGCATTTCCATCCAGAGGAAGTATGTCTGGTTTTGGTTTTAAAGGCTTTCAATTTTCAACAGTAATGGAGGGCACACTAAACACAATATACTTTCTTCACTATCAATTTCAACTTTTCAGTTTCACCAAATTTTACATCAACAACTACTGAGTGATGTATAGACTTTTAAAAGTTAATGTGTAGACTATTAGTTTAACATGCTTTCAGGCAGACTAAACACAAGCTGTGATAGTCTGCGTAAGCATGCCCCTCACAGGTCTGCATGTTTGAATACTTGGTCCTTAGCAGGTGATACTCTTTAGGTAAGTTTAAGAGATCTGGCTTTGCTGGAGAAAGTAGATTTCAAAGCCTCAAGCCGTTCCCAGCCAGCTCTCGGCTCCCACTCCAGTTGTCACGCCCGTTTGCTGCCACACTTCCTCAGCATGATGGGACTAGAGTCCTACTCCTCTAGAACCATGAGCCCAAATAAGCCCTAACCTCTGTAAGGTGTCCTGTCACGGTGTTTATCACAGCAGCAGAAGAGTAAATAATTTACATACCTTTAATTTATCAGATAAATCTTTGATTTCATTAACTGCTCCATTATATTTATTGGCTAATTCTCTTAATTCCTCCTGAGTCCGTTCATTCATTTCTTTCAGGTGGGTACATTCATCTTCAGTATTACTCAGACTTCGCTGCAATTCAAGTTCACAGGCAATTCATTTAGAGTAAATGGGTACTTATTAAAAATTAAACATAAATTCAATTTGTAAAAAAATGTAGCTCTGGACTATTCTCCATCAACATTAAACTTAACTTATGTAAAGGTAAGTTAAAAGACAAAATAATTTCAGGAATATGTATACTAAAACAAAACTAAGTATTTCTTTTCTTAATGTTGGGAAATGGACAAAAATACTTTTAAAAGGTCAACAGGTCTAACTTTTAGCCTTGAAACTATTTTAAAACCACCAATTCCTTTTCTATTTATTTCTGAAACAAGACTATGTTACTCAGTCTGGCTTCAAATTTGCTACAGTACAGCTTGTGAATCTTCCTGACATCATCATCATCATCATCATCATCATCATCATCATCATCATTGTCATTCCTGCTATTATTGTAGTATCATCTATCACACTTACTTCTAAGCCAACAATCCTAAAAATAAGTTTAATACCACATAGCAGTTCATCTAATGTGAAAATAGGAAGATGCTTGAAACTTTCTTTGTACGTCAAATTAATCAAGCAATAATGAACATAAAGTACATACTATAGAATAAGACCATAATACAAACTATCCAGGTCCTCATACATGCTAAGCTCATACCCACTGAGCTAAACTCTCAGACCCAAGAATCACATTTTGATTGTTCCTAGGACCTACAAGACAGTTAACGTCTAAAGCCTAAGACACAGTGTTACTCTAGAGCAGTGGTTTTCAACCTGTGGGTCATGACCCTTTTATGGGTGGAATGACCCCTTCATTGGGTGCCTAATACCATCAGAAACAGATATTTCACCTTACAATTCATAACCACAGCAAGATTACAGTTATGAAGTAGAAATGGGGGTCACCACAGCATGAAGAACTGTCAAATAATCTCAGCATTAGGAAGGTTGAGAACCACTTCTCTAGAGGATGGGTAAGTAGTCAAATTCTCAAGTCTTATGTTGCCATCCTCCATGAAAAGTCAGCAAACATTTATGCCAAAAGATCAATTCCCACCAGACATGGTATTGGCATGTCCTTAATCCCATCCATTTGTCTCCATTTGGGAGACAAAACTAGGTGCATTTCTGAGAGCTTGGGGCCAATCTGGTCCACATAGTATGTTCCAGTCCAGGCAAAGGTAGTTTAGTTCCCAGCATCCATGTCAGATGGCCCAAAACTGCCTATAATTCCCAGTCCAGGGGATCAAAGAAAGACCTTGGACTTCTGTAGACACCTTTATTTGCATACATGTACCCACACACCAACTACACAGACATATAATTTTAACAAGAAAATAACTCTTTAAAAACAATAACAATATAAGTGAAATACCTCAACTTCTGAAAGTTTTCTAACCACTTCAATTTTCTCCTGAAGAACCCGCCTCAGAGACTCTTTGGCTGTTGTTTCATAGTTGTGTTTATCTTCCTGCAGTGCTATAAGTTCCTTCCGTAAACTATCTTCTGTTTGATTCTAGAATAAAAGACACCTATATTATACCCAAACTACTCTCCTTTAAAAATTGCTTAACCTTTGAAAGAAATAAACACATTACAATAGTCAAATTTGTATGTTGAGGCACTCCCAAACACAAATATTGGCTACCATTAACTAAATCTGTATTTCCAAGCTGTGCCAGTAACTTATGCCTTCAGAAACTATACTAATTCCAATGGAAAGAATTAAAGGCAAATAATTTCTCTCAAATATTAAGATTATTCATATTCTGTGGAAGCTATCACAGTTCCACTTATGAGCAAAAATCATTGCTATCAAAACATCAATCATTTTAGAATAACAGTTAAAACAAATGTAGTAAGACCATCACGAGGAAAAAGGAGACCCCAGGTCTGTAACTAGTAATGTGTAAAATGAGCATGAAGCATCCTGTCTAGTTTGGCCACAGGAAGCTATCGAAGTTTGTTTTAGCCAGAGCACCAACTTTTTACAGAAACTAAAAAGTTTATTGCCAATACTTATTAAGTTGATCATCAACAAAGATAACTACAAATATAGACTGAAATATAGCAAATATACTTAACTCTAAGCAAAGGAGAAAGTACTTCATTGTCATTTGCTTGTATATAAAAAAGAATCAATTTATTCTGTTTCAATCTAATAAATAATTGGGGGCTCACTTATTCTGGGTTTTTTTTTTTTTCCCCTGTAGAAAATGTGCTTAGAGTAACAAAATGGTTCATGAGGAAAAAAATTCTCTTTGAAGAAGTAATCCAGCTAAGTAAATGAAGGAATGATAGAATTAAATTACAAGTTAAGTATCTTTAATGAAATAATGGACCTAGTGAAGAATCAATGAATAATAAAATCCTAAAAGAAACACCATCTAACCATTATTTTGTCTTTGACTGAAGAACACCACCACCCATAAAGTGTTGTGTTGTTGGCCAAGGAAGGTAGAAGTGGGGGACAAACAAGTACCATAACCTAAACCAGACCAAATATCTATTATTTCATGCCTAGAGAAAGAGCTAGAAAAATGTTTTAATAGCAGTATAGACTAAGTCACAATCCAGAAGGCAAATCATCTCTTCAATAAATATCAACTGCAATAGAAAAAAGGAGTCAGAACTGGACCCAGGCGTGTACTACAACTCTTCCTACTTACAGGTATACCTGAATTTTTTTTTTTATGACAAAGATATAAATGAATTGTAGAACTATATAAAGAAATGAAACTGCAGAAAACACCATAAGTTCTTTCTATGTACCTGAAATTAAATTACCTACTTTGGAGCATGCCTGCAACTGGTTTCCCATAACTTCTAACCGTGATAAGAGTCTATCTTCATCTATTAAAGCCTGTTGAAAAAAATAGATATAAATAAAAACCCAGAGTAACAACAATAACAAATTATGTAGAACAGATTTTATTGCCAACAAAAGAAAGAAAATTGGGAAATCAATCAAAATCTACTACAAAACACTGTTTCAACATTTGTTTAAGATATAACTTTACTTTTGTTTGCCAGAGAATCTTATTCATTCAACACTTAAAAAAAAAAAAAAAACAACTATTAAAATGTTTAAAAGCTTCTTGAATATAAGTAAATACAGTACCTGCCAACTAGTATCTGAGGCCTCTTGGGTGATGGCCAGTAGCCGCTGAAGTGTGGCTAACTTCTGTTCCAGCATCTGTTCCCGATGTAAGGCCTCCTAACATAAGTCATACACAAAAAAATCTAATGAGCTCAGCAGCACCTCTGAAGAATAATACTCAGTATGGTTTGCATATATTCGCAAATTACACCATGGTTTTAGCTCACTATTTCAGCCCATGCACTGGACTGCAGGTACAGATGTAACAGGTAGTCTAATAACTTCTCCCCCACAAATTACTCATTTCTGTTTTCTTTTTATTGGTAATCTACTAAAAGAGCAACTTTCAAAAGCAGGTTAGAAAAATTAACAAATGTTTCTGTTTCTGCTTGTATTTCATAAATTCACACATGGTTTTTTGAAATATTTATATACCTAGAGACAAATGTATTTCAAACTAAAACAAAGATACTTTACAGCAGCTCTACAACATGGTATCTAAAATAGTAATAGTTTTTAGGTTCTCCTTTTTACAATGTTATTTAAATATATATATATTTAAAAGAGAGACTACTCAGAGCTTAAAGCATTTTCAAGTGTTCTGATTCTCCCCCTGATGATGTCACTGAGTAGTAGTTAATATTTAAAAAGCAAGAGCCCATTAAATATTAGCTTATATGTGAATATGGTGAAAACACTGAAGAGCAAGAGTACTCTGTGGTCAACATTTAATAGCTAACAGCATCCCCTTCACAGAGTGTGAAGGTAAAATGCCCACATCATTCAGCTGTGGCTTTGGCACACCTTCATCCTGTCATTCCTGTCAGTACCAGAAGGACACACACTATCATTCTATCTTTGAGGTATCTTTGCTTTAAAGATAGCACTTAAGGTTTAAAACAATAATTTACTGCTCTCCACATCCTCAATAAACAATGACTAGGGGAATCTGGCCTACTGTAGAATTAGAAGTAATTTGTTTTAATGCAGATTGAGGAATCTAATAAAAACACCATCACCTGAGAATCCACATTAAAATGGCTATTTGCCATATTTTATTTTAAGCTCTTGAAACATTCCTAATATCCAGGAAGTAACAGATACAAAAAGTTTTAGTGATGAACAAAGCTACCGGCCAACCACAGTTTTAGAATCTACCTCCACTAGATGGTGTCATTACATCTTTTTTAAAATTCCATTCCATTAGTTTAATTCTGAACCAAACTCCCATAAATGTAGTACTTCTGGAAATAGTCTTTTAGATCTCAGATGAAATTCAGGTGATCAAAGAGCCGGCCACTGAGTAATAGCCAGAATCTGGAAACAACCTAGATATCCCTCAATGGAGGAATGGATACAGAAAGTGTGGTACATTTACGTAGCAATTAAAAACAAGGAAACCATGAAATTCGCAGGCAAATGGAAGGAACTAGAAAAGATCATCCCGAGTGAAGTAATCCAGAAGCAGAGAGACACATATGGTATATACTCACATATAAGTGGATACTAGCCATATAATATATGATAAACATACTAAAATCTATAGCCTTAAAAAAGCTAAACAACAAGGAGGACCGTAGGGAAGAGGCTGAAACTTCACTCAGCAGAAGCCTTCCACAGGGGACCTCTGAAAGACTCTACCCACCAGGATACCAAAGGAGATACTAAGCTACTTTTAAAAGCTAAGAATTCTCAAGATTTACTTTTACCTGTAGATACTGAGAAAGTTGGAATAGTTCCTGAGAGTACATACTTGGAGTGTTAGCAGCAACCTAGAAAATAAAACAAGATAATGTCAATAATCGCAGAAAACGGCACATTAAGAAGGCTATTAATAGTCAATAAGACAGTGCAGCAAGTCAAGGTGCCTGCTCTCAAGTCTGATAACTTCAGTGTGATCCCTGTGCTAGATGGTTTTATGTCATCTTGTCATAGGTTAAGTCATGAGAGGAAGGAGCCTCAATTAAAAAATGACTCCATAAGATTAGGTTGCAGGCAGGCCTGTAGAGCATTTTCTCAATTAGTGATTGATGGGGGAAGGCCCAGACCATTGTGGGTGGTATCATCCCTGGGCTGGTGGTCCTTGGTTGTGTAAGAAAGTAGACTGAGCAAGGCATGGATAGCAAGCAGTATCCTTCTGCTTCAGCTCCTATTCCACCCCATTTGAGCTCCTGTCCTGACTTCCTTTGATAATGAACGGTGATGTGAAAGCATAAGCCAAATAAATGAACCCTTCCCTCCCCAAACTGCTTTTGGAGTTTTAGCACAGCAATAGTAACACTAACTAGGACAATCCCAATATCCACATGCTAAAATGAGAGAACCAACTCCTGAAAATCATTGTCTTATCTCCATTTGCAAAGACAGAATGCACACAAAATAAAATGCCCTTAAAGAATTAAAAACAAACCAATTCCATAAAATGTCTATTTTCCTAAATATGCACATAAAATATTTTTAATCGACCTAGTCTCTCAGATTTCAATCGCTGTGACTTATAAGCAAGATGATGAAGCAAGCACTACTGTGAAACTTTATAAGCCAAATCAAACTTATAGCACAAAGATACTGAGACTTTTCATAACCAGGAATAATAACTCCTAACCAATACAGTCATGTTTTTCTTTTACAATTCATTACTAATTAATTCATTAATGTGTCAATATGTCACTTAGAAACAACATTCTTCAAAATGTTACTTGAAAATACATGTCAGGTTAGAGGATAAAATGAAATTTCACACTCTTCACTCACTGAAAAATTAAACTGAAAATTTTTTATTATTATATATAAAATTTCACAAGATAGAAAAATAATGTCCAAAAACTACAAATCAGCCTAACTGCTTAGAACCCAACTGTACTAGAATAAACCTCAGTAAGGGCTTTTCGGGACTATTGAATACAGAACCACATGATTAAAAAAGTCCAATGTAAATGTAACGCCAAATAGTAAAGAGGTATGTATGGCTTCGCTCTTTGGCCACACTCTGTTACTTAGCGATGGCACCTATACTTGCAGTGCACCATTACTCCTAAACAGAAACAAAACTCAGCCATCAATTACTGCAATTTCTAATCTGCAGTGTCAAAAATCAATCTTCAATGGCATTAAAAGAACAATTTACGCAATTCCATTTTAGAGCTGCTTTGCTGCATGTGCAGATACTAAGTAACTTCTTGGATAGAAAGCTTTGGGAAATTCCTAGACAGAACTGTACTTCAGAATAAAAGGTAACAATTAATACTACTTACCTCTGGCAAGGCACAAAACCAGGTACATTTAGTCTGCTCAGTCAGTGGTTTACCTGGGCTACAAAAGCTTTTTCTGAAGAAACACTCATTCCAAATTTTCCAGACAATGAAGGTTATATTAACTACATAGCCATATTAAAAGTTTTTTTATTGGTAAAACATATTAAATATACATACTTGAATGAAATAATATTTCAAAGTTTGGAAAACAATCATTCACAACTTACTTTGTCAACAGGACTCGGTAATGGAGCATGGATGACACTGCAAAGTAAAATTTAGAATTTTATCTAATTTCCTGAAAACAGAGGGAATGGAACTAGAGCACCAGAATATCTTGTATAAAATTCATGTGTTTACTCATGTAATTAGAAGACTATGAGTTATCTTTCATCCTTTCATAAACATATGACATTCTTAAAAAATAAACTAATACATATATAACTACTTTTTACTCATTATTTTCTTTAAAACAAATTTCAATTTCAAAATGTATTGTGCCTTGAGTGCTGTAATGACTTCTTATTTTTAGCATTTCAACACACTGAAGTACCTTTCCAATCATGTATTTTTAATTTGTAACACCCAAATTATCAAAAATTAACTGCTCCTATGCAGAAGTCTTTAATAAGCACAGTTGGAAAAAAAAGGCTTTTGTTTGGAAAGCCTGCTCTAGTTTGGAAAGCTGCTCTAGTCAAGAACAACTTTAGCTGTAAAGACAGTGCAACTAATCTCACCTAGACATCTTGAGACTAACTCAAAGTTTTCATGTATGTATGAAACTGAATTCAGAGCAAACACAACAGAGATCATCAACTGACATTAATTCCCTTTTGAGCCTGATAAAGAACTTTTGACAAAGAAGCAGCAGCAAGTCAACATACAAGCTCAGAAAATATACCAACTAGACCAAACTGGCTCTACTTACCAGCTAAAAGGCAAAGTAACTAAGCAACACAGGCCTCAAGAAGTGGTCCTGTAAATTTAAGTATTAAGTGTGTTGATATAAACAAGTAGTTTTAAACAATGGCTTGGAATAGTAACCAAGCAAATACTACCTTTTACTTTCATGAGAAATGTGCAGCTAAGGAAGCCAGCGTCCCTGTTTTACAAAGCTCTGGAAGAGACGATATGTGTCTTGAAGGCACGTAGAGGAATGTAGAAAAAGCATGACACCTACATCCCCTACACTTCACATCTTAGAAACCAACCTAGTGTCAACTTGACAGCTTGAAGGCTGATTTGGGAACATTCCCAGACTCAACTGGTAAAGCTTGTATAAACTGCTGAGAAACTGACCTGGTATGGAATACACAGTAGAGAGTTAAGTTTAACTACCCATTTTCTGCACACCAGGATATCTTACAGAGACTTCACTGAGCATGTATAAATCTTAACTATATTTATTTGATTACATGTCTGTGTCTCAGGAATTACGATCAATTCACCCCTGCATTCACAGAGCCTATCAGATGGCCTTAAGAAACTTGCTGCCTAGTAAAGGTTTTTAAAAAGTTTTAACTACAAATATTTTTCTTCACTCTATAAAACTAAAATGGATGTTTTAAACATAATTTGATTTTCCTTGACTGTACAGGCAATATACGTTTAATATGGAAAATGTGTTAGGTATAAAAAAAATAAACTAAAATTATTCAATCCTAACACCCAGAGATAACCATTTTTATGTATTCTTTTTCTCTCTGTGTGTATTTGTTATATCCATATACATATTTTTTTAATCTTGTTTTAAAATCTGGTTTTCTTAGTGATCAAAAAAAAAAGTCTCTGTTCTCATGAAATCTGGTTACCACCACCACCACCACCACCAACAACAACAACAAAAGGCTACAAAAGTCAAATAACACATTCTGCAAATATATTTGATTTTTACAAAATCTATATTAGATATAGGTATACTTTGAATTGTTGAAAAACTTTTGTATATAAAAAGTATAGCAAGGGAATGTTAGAAGTCAAAACTGTTATTTAATGTTAGGGTTGTAAAGTTATAAGCAATTTCTATGAAAATTATAAAATATAACAAAAACTAAGAAATTATCATAACTACCTACTGAAGTTAAAAAACTGTACACATCATTCACACGTGGACTTGGCATTCTTAATGTATTTTACCATTTAAATTCCCAATTAGATTACAATAGCAGCAGTTAATGTTTATCAGGGATTTATTATATGGTAGATACTACACTAAGTTCTTTAAATATACAACTATATTTAAGCCTTGTAAAGTTCCTGCTCAGTAAGTCTTATGATTTATCTTTATGTCTCAGATGAAAAAGGCCTGCAAAGTCATAGAAGAGGTGGAGTAAGGCTTTCACTGAGCTGCCTACCCTAAAGTCTACTCAGATATTCATACAGCTTTAGAGAACTGTTCGTTCAAAACTTGTTTTCTAAACTGAAGCAAGATGTTCAATGAGGTAATGTTTACTAGCCCTTTAAACGGGTTAGGGAGCATCTTCAGCAGGTAAAGTCCCTGCTGCTCAAGCATCCCCAGGACCCTGTAAAAGGTCAAGTGCTAGAGCATGCCTGTAACCTCAGCACTTGGAAGGTAAAGACAGGGAGGTCCCTGGGGCTCAATGAGACCCTGAGGCTGCCCTCCCCTCCGCATGCAGGCAATACACATATGCACACAAACATTCACATATGTAGCCACTAAAGGGGCTGGGGGAAGAAAACAAGAAATAGTTAGAAGATATTTTAACTATCAAAGAGTGGTGACAACACAAAACCCTGCCTCAAAGAAGCTGGAAGGCAAGCACCAACACCAAGGTGGTCCTCTGACCTCCACACGCGCCATGGCACACACGCACACTCACTCACACACACAAACACACACACATACATACACATGAAAACCCACTTCTTCTATTAGATGGAACTTAAGAACACAGAAGACATACATGACTGCTCAAAGCTTTTAGCTCTATCAAAAATGATCTCATATCAACTATAGTTCATATCAACTGCAAACAGTAGTCTTTAAAAAAGCTATATGTCATTGGTGAATCGATTACGTATTATACAACTAAAAGCTTAATTCTTGACCCATAAAGGCTTTGTTACGTTAAAGTTCTTAAACTTTACTGCAATTTTTAATAAACTGTAATTGCATTTTAATAAACTATAATTAAAATAAATGGTATTTTAAATTTCATGTTTTATCATCTCTGCTTTGCATAATCTAGCCATAAAACTACAGAGAAAAAAAAAACTATGCTAGGCCCTAAGAAAAGCATAAAATATATAATTCTAATGACAGAAAAAAAAGAGACAATTACAGTAATGGGGACGGGAGGGCTCTTTCTGCTTTGTCTTTCTCTCTTCCCTACTCATTACTCAACTTTTCCTTAAACTCTGGGTATTCTGGCATAATCAAAATCATGTGAGCCATTAGTAAAATATAGATTATCATAACAGGAAGCTCTTTTGAAACAAGGAAACAAGCATCTAGCATAGTTAAGGCTGTCCTTAAATTTAAAAAGAAAAAGCATTAATATTTAAATACTTCCTAGCCCCTACCATAAGGATATACTTATGTTTACCATATATATATATATATTTATTTATTTATTTATTTATTTATTTATTTATTTATTTATTTATGTTTACCTCTAGACTTCATAATAGAACTTTACATCCCTTCATATAAAACATAAAATATAACTTTGGGGGGATTTAAAAAAAAAAACTCTCAAAAATATTGACTATATTGGCATCATCAGGTTCTGGAAGACAATGACACCTACATTAACTCCATAAGCACTTGGTTTAAAGAGTTTTATAGTAAACATATATCAAAAGGAATACAGTTATCATTCACCATATCCTGACATGTCCTAAAAATTACAAAAAAATTATCCATTCAAGTGTACATTGTAAAAGTAAATTTAGAAACAAAACAACCTTTACCTCTGATACATTATTATTTACTAGATTTTCAGATAATATAAAAAGCAAGTAAACTGAAGTATATAATCTGCCAAAAGGTACTATATCAGGTTTAATATAGTAAAGCAATCTTGTAGTATTAACAGAATATCATCACTCTGAATATTACCAACCAAGACAATTGATCCAAAATTTCACAGCACTAAATTATACTCACTCTGAGCGGAGTCGGGCTTCCATACCATCTGGTAGAAAAAGTTTTATTGTGGAAACAATACACCCATGGGTAACTGGTTAAAACAAATAAAATAAGTGTTTAAAAATATGAAGCTTGGTGGGTCTCATATCTAAACTTGTATTTCATTCTTAAAAGTAATAATTTCTAGAAAAGTAAATAAATCTAGTAGTTTAACGACAGTATCTACAACCTTAGAAAAACTTCCAATTCCTTAAGACAATGAAAAGTCAACTGCCCAGTGTACAGAAATAATAAAGAGAGGAATGAAACAGTTTTGTCCCAGTTTGTTTACATCATACCTAATATACTACCCTTTAAAAAGTAGTCCTTATTCTGTCTCCAATATGTCTCTTCATAAGACTTTAAAGTCCTTGATTTACAGTTTAGATGGTGAAGTTGAGAAAACCAAGCCTGCTGACAAGCGCGGGTGCCTCCCGACTCTTCCCGTGCACAGCTGCTCTGACCTGCATAGGAGGCTCTCCAGGCAGCTTTCACATGGTCGTTTTCCTACATCCCCAACACCTTCTGATAAAGTCATGGCAGCCCCTCTGTATACAACTCACAATACTGCCTCTCACTCCTTTTCCTACTGAGTTTTTCAAGAGACAAACCTCCCACGTACAGCGACTGTACAGATGACTATGTCTTTTACAGAAAAACATGTCTTCCAATTTAAAGATTCGTAGTTTTGATTTCTCTGTTCTTAAAATTCTGCACCACTACAGTTCAACAAATTTGTTAGTTTACTAAACTGACTTAAAGCTAATGTGGGCAGACAAAAACACACTGTCTAATGATTTTAAAAGCAGTACTTAAAGTGGCTGTGTACATCTGCCAAAACTCACTGAGTCTCACAAGGAAATTTGTCTATACATATATATATATGTATATATAAACATATATATACATATATACACACACAATAATTATTGCTCTAAGGGTATAATAGGTTAAACAATTACAATCATAGTATCAAGATGAAAAGGAAAAGTAGTATCATCTGTAAATGTATATTAAATTTAAGGAATTTAGCACAGTTTAGTCGGTATTTGTTTTCAGGAACTAGTTATATACCGGAAGTGCTAACACAGACAAAGAACCATCTACTTCAAAGTTCTGACTGGAATAGCCATTACTGCCATGAATCATTTGGCTTCTTCCTTCATAGACACATCCTCTAAGCTGCTGCCATAGGTCTCTTATTCAGGTTACATGCAATCTCAAATATCTTACTGTTAACAACCCCATTTTTACACATCTGATCTGTGATGTTCTTTATCTTCTTGCTAACATAACCACATGCATTTTTTTTTCCCCAGTAAGCAATGCCCCATCATGGCCTCTCCATAAGTTCCTGCCTCCAGTTTCCTGCCTAAGGTTCCTGCCTTGATCTCCCTGTATGATGAACTACAAGTTGTCAGCTGGAATAAACCCTTCCTCCCTAAGTTGCTTTGGTCATGGTGTTTTATCACAATAGAAGCCCTAAGACAAACAGAAAGTACTTTTAACCACTGAACCATCTCTCCACCTCCTTGTGCTGGAATTCTCAGCTGGGAAAGACTTTGATCAAACTCCAGAGCAAGAGATTCCTTTCCCTCCCATATTATCTTAGTTTTCCCTTCTGCCCTGCTTCATTCCGTCTATGCCCTCTCTCTACCTCTAGACCTTCAGATTTTTTGCCCAAACCTCTCTTCCCTTAAAAGTACCCTGCATCCTCAGATCTTTATTCCAAAATCTCTTATCTTATCCTCCAACTCTCTTTTGCCTCAGAATCACTTCACTTAGTCCTTAAAATATTGCTGCCAATTGTGCCCTTCCTTCAAAACCTCATCTCATTTTTTGACTCTTACCTCCTCCCTAATATCCTAACTGTTGATACAAAAGGACCAAAAATTAAAGCAAGATGTTACCCCTTTCTAGCAGTTTCAGATCCCCAATGCTTAGAGCCTAACCCAAAGACTTGTGATGCCATTGCACAATTAGCACCTGGCTCTTTGTGGCCCCTAGCATTTCCGTCCAAATAGCTAACCTCAGTGAAGGCATGTGGTATTATAAAATTTATGACTTCAGCTCCTATAAGTACCACTAATTAAACATGTATGTTCTCAAGGCATAAGAGTGGTAAAAGTAGAAGAACAGCTATTTTGAAAGAAGGGCATTACCAACGAACGGGAAGGGGCAATAGAAGATAATTGGTGAATATAACCAAATGTTTCAAATACATGTACAAAATGTAATAAAACACATTATTATACCTAATTAAAATATGCTAACAAAAAGCTTTTTATAAATTTACAGGAAGAAGAGGTGGATAAACTACAGAATCAAACTGCAGGTCCCAGGGCCAGCATGTGACACATCACATCAGGAATTCTACCAGTCAGCTAGACGACTCTAAAGTTCAGCAAATGGACTAATACATAAACCAATGAAGTGAACCATGGACTAATACTGACTAGGCAGTAAAAGTCCATGTCTGACTATGCAGCCAACCCTATCTGCAAGAAGACTTCATCTCAAGTAGATACTCAGAAGCATAGAAACCTTAATGGTTTTTCAGATTAGCAACAGGCAAACATTTAAAACAATGTAATAGGACTATGCATGGAGATAACCTAAGACCCTTGCACACAGTATCCAAGTGGGTTCCATTGTAATAGGAACAGGGACTGTCTCTGACATGAACTGATTGGCCTGCTCTTTAATTACATCCCCCTGAGGGGGAAGCAGCCTTACCAGGCCACAGAAGAAAACAACTCAGCCACTCCTGATGAGACCTAATTGACTAGGATCAGAAGGAAGGAAAAGAAGTCCTCCCCTATCAGTGGACTTGGGGAGGGGCATGCATGCAGAGGGTGGAGGAAGGGAGGGATTGGGACGGGAGGAGGGGGGACTCACAGGGAGGATACAAAGTGAATAAAATGTAATTAATAAAGAAAAAAAAATTTAAAAATCAAGTAAAAAAAAAAACAATGTAATAGGCATGTTTTAATATAACCTGGTATAGTAGACTTTTCCCAAATATTATGCTAAAACGTGTTAACAAAAAGGAATTAGGAGCCACACGGTGCTGACACATGTCTTTAATCCCAGCCCTTGGGAGGCAGAGACAGGCAGATCTCTGAGTTCCACACCAGCCTGATCTACTCAGATTGAGTTCAACTGAGTCAAAAGAAGTTTAACAAGTTTTTATGTGTATTAATTCTGAGCTTTCTTTGCAGATGAGGAGACGAAAGAAAAAGCTGAGACTATTGCTCAGTGGTAGAACAATTGCCCTGCATATACGCAAAGCCTAGATTCAATTCCCAGGACAAAAACAAAAGACTTAAAGGATATTTGTACAGTATTAAGATACATTTTCCAAGTTTATCTGGCCATCAGCCCCAACCCCTTTCAAACACTTTCAGAGAATCTGGTATTATGAAAGAAATACTTAGAATAATAATAATGTTCTAAAAAGTCTATGAAATATTTTAAACCTATTTTGCTCTCAAAATCAACACAAAAAGGATTGCTACAGTTCATACTCAAAGACTAAGATAATTTAAATAGTTTGTCCACAAAAAAATGGAGCATCAGAACATTGCCACATTAAATATACAGATATGCTAAATCAGATATAAATTTCATCAATGTTAAATATGAAAAACAGGTGTGTACAAACAGAGGCAACAAAACACATGTGGAAGAACCACTTATATCGACTCCATGGATATAGACTACTACAAATCAAAGTAACACCATGAGCCGACTGCCACTGTTTCTTTTCTGTTGCCTACACAGACCATTTATTTTGATTTTGAGATTTATTTACTTTGTGGTATGCACTCAGCCTCTATTTACCTCTTCAGACAAATGCCAATTAGGAGACCCATATTCAGTTTGTTTGGTTTAAAATATTTTGGAGGCCTTCAGATGAGAAAGAGAAACAATGGGGTATATTATATCCAGCGTTGCCTCTAATCATTCTCTGTAGAGTAGAAAAGCCAGTACCATTTTATACTTAGCAGTCATCTGAAGAACGGAAGACTGACAACAAGAAGCAAGAACAACATTTTAAAAAACAAGATCTGAATCAAATATTAGTATTTCTAGACTGAAATAATTTGCATTAATCTATTTTTTACCATTTGATATAAAGTAATTGTTAAGACTTTTTATCTTGAAGTTTTTTTTTACTTTTTAAGGCTTCTAATTCTTAGGCTTTAAGAATGCAGAGAAAGGTAGGTGAATCAACAGTGCTTTCATTCTAAAATTAAATTAGTATTCTATCACTCTGTCTTCTCTTGAGAACTGTAGTTTAGTTACCACAAAGCTTTCAACCTTCAACTAGTTTTTAAAAGACTTATGTTTTAGTTATGTGCATCGGTGTTTATCTATGTGTGGTTTTGTACACACAAGCACAGAAGCCTGACAAGTCCAGGGGACAGTGTCAGATATCCTGGCGCTAGAGTCAGAACTTTGAATCTGAGCGCTTGATGTGGACACTGAGAACTCAAGTCTGGTCCTCTAAGAGCAAAACCTGCTCTTAACCATTAAACCATCCCTCCAGCCTCTTCAACTACTTTCTTTTTAAATCTTACCTATAACTGAGGTTTGTTGTGATAGTTGTTGTCCCCAAGTACTGAGGTCAAGTTAGGACCTCATGCACACTGGGCAAGCATTCTACCAATGATTTACCCTACCAACCAAGCTCTTCCTCGCACAGGACAGGAGATACGAGTGCTTCTATTCTTTCTCTTTCTTTACCAGTTTTCAGAATGGCAAATGATTTCTTCTAAGTTCTTACAAAAGTAATAAAAAATCCAGTTTCCTTTTTAGTTTTAGTATAAACTCATCAACTTAAACATATTTAGCATCCTTAAATCCAATGCTATTATAATTTGATGTTCAAAATACCTGACTTTTCAGGAAAGATTCACTCATGTTAGTTCCTAGTCCTTTTAATGGGAGGCCAGCAATCTTAGACAAATAATTTTACTGATATGACAAAAATCTTGTAGGCCTAGATTCAGCAGCTGCTGTTTCTCCAAGTCTTGTTTCAAGTTCACC